TAGCTGGTTGGCCACTGTGTGAACAGAATGCTGGACTAGATGGGCCTTGGGTCTGATCCAGCATTTTATACTTTTAACTGGAACAAGCAAGTCTGATCATACTGGGCATGAACTTCTGAGCATTTTCATCAAATGTCCAGAACATACATAATGCATAGAAGCTAATATAATCTGGTTGATTGATTTGAGGGCCATCCAGAAAGCCAGGGTCTTTGTGTGAATGAAGCCTGGGCTGATTCACATCTTTTCCGGGAGAACTAGGTTTGATTCCTCACTCCTCCACGTGCAGCTGCTGGTGTGACCTTGGGTCAGTCATAAGTTCTTTCAGAGCTGTTCTCTCAAGAGCAGTTCTCGAGCGAGCTCTCTCGGTCTCACCTGCCTCACAGGGTGTCTGTTGTGGGGAGGGGAAGGGGAAGAGATTGTAAGCTGCTCTGAGACTCCTTCGGGTAGTGAAGGGCAGGGTATAAATCCAATCTCTTCTTCTTTTCTTGCTAGTAACAGTATGGTGAAGCTGGTACTGAACAGTGAAACCAAGGGGAAGTTGAAGGGTTAAATCCCAACTTTATCTATGTAGCCCTGAGGCAGGTTGAGGCAGCAGGAGCTTCTGATGGGCCTCTTATGGACAGACCAAGTTGTGTGATCATTCGCTAGACAGTTTGAGCTTTTCATTAACAGGAATTACCCCCCCACACACAAAGCGCTTTTTTTTTAAGGCCCCCCCCTCTTTTTTAAACAGTGCCAAACTTACTCTTTGAAAAACGCTCAAAATTGTCTGAAATCCACTCAGATCTTCTAAGAAAGTTGTCGACTATTTGTGCAATGGAGCAGAGCAATTTGCACCTCCATCTTTTGATTTCAGGAAGGACTGATTGGGAAGTTCTCAAGTCCATGTTTCTGTTAAAAAAAAAAAGTATTTCCCTCTTCCTCTCCACAGCTGTGAGTCACTGTACAATGTTCTTTCACTCAGGTTATAATCAGAACCTGTTAGGTTGCTAGGTGTAGCTGAATTTGGTCTGGAAGGCTATTTTAGACAGACAGTTGCCATCATTGTCAAGTGGCTTCTAAATTTGGATGTTACCTCAGTCAAACTCAGCTTGGCAGAAACTGCCTAAGTTTCTAGTTCAGAAGGTGGGGGCAGCGGGGGTGGGCACAAGGTAGAGAGACTTCTTTCACAAGGGCTTGGCTAGATACATCTTGTTCTTCTCATACTTGTTCTCTGTTACCTCTCTGCTGACTCTCTCCTGGTCGTCTATTTTAAAGCTGTATCACTAAGACGTAACTTTTCTCTGCCTTCCTTTGTCTCCAAGAACAGTTGGGTACTCTCCATATGGAAAATCTTTCTTTTGCAATCTGTGAGTTAATCTAGGATTTTCGCAGACAAGTTTAGGTAATCCCTTTCCAAAGAGAAGAAGAGGAGGAGATTGCCCTTGAGAGAACAGCTCTGAAAGAACTTATGACTGACCCAAAGTCACACCAGCAGCTGCATGTGGAGGAGTGGGGAATCAAGCCCAGTTCTCCCAGATTAGAGTCCATGCGCCTAACCACTACACCAAACTGGCTACCAGACATGTAGACAGCAAGTTGTAGGCTCATACACACTTTGTATAGGGTGGATAAAGATGATCCTTCTTTGTGCCAGCTTTCCGTGCATGAAACCACACTACTATGTGCCAGTAAGTAAGCAAGCAAGTTATGCAGTGTCCTGCCAAGTGATGAGGAAATTTTACCACACGTCTACACCTGACCGAATAGCTGTTGAAGTGTGGGATCTGGGGTTCCTACAGATGATCAAACTACAGACAGCTGGGGGTGTGCTGTCTTATGCTGTGACAGCTTGATGCATACTGCATACTAGAATCATAGCCTCACAGAATCCCAGAGTTGGAAGGGGCCAGACAGGCCATCCAGTCCAACCCCATGCTCCATGCAGGATCAGCCCAGAGCATCCCAGACAAGTGTCTGTCCAGCTGATGCTTAAAGACTGCCAGTGAGGGGGAGCTCCCCACCTCCCTAGGCAGCTGATTCCACTGTGGCACAGCTCATACTGTAAAAACGTTTTTCCTAATATCCAGCCAATACCTTCCTGCCTTTAATTTAAACCCATTATTGCGAGTCCTACCCTCTGCTGCCCACAGGAACAGCTCCCTGCCCTCCTCTAAGTGACAGCCCTTCAGATACTTAAAGAGAGCAGTCATGTCCTCCCTCAACCTCCTCAGGATTAAACATTCCTAAGTCCCTCAGCTTTTCCTCACAGCGCTTGGTCTCCAGGCCCCCGATCATCCTCGTTGCTCTCCTCTGCACCCACTCCATTCTGTCCACAGCCTCTTTGAAGTGAGGCCTCCATTCTCCAGGTGCATTGTACAGCGGGACTATATGACATCTTGCGACTTGGATGTGATACTTTTAAGGAGGAGTTATGTGTGAGTGTATGGTAAAACGGTCATGTGCATGGGTTTAGGCAAGTAACTTACCAAGCTGTGGTATGTAGACCATGGGATGTATTACCCTGTAATAAACAGTCATAGTTAATATTGAAATGTGTAATGTTGGTTGGAGGGGAGAAGAACAGGAATTGAAAGAGAACTATAACATTGTGCAGGCCTGGGCGGAGAAGATACCCAGCAGAACCAGCAGAAAAGAGGTTTCAGAAAGAGGAAGATATTTGATTTGATTTATTTAATTAGTATCCCACTCTCCCGGCCAAGGCTGGCTCAGGGCGGCTTACAGAACAGGGCAAAAAAATAGGGATACCCCCTATTAGAAAGAAAAGAACCTACACTTCACTATGACAAAGGTGCAGGGAAGGGATAGCGGCCCAAAGGAAGTGTCAGAGGGTGCTGGACAAAGATATATAGTTTCCCTTGAACAGCTTGCTCTTCTTTGCGCTTGTGCGCCTATCTCCTTTATTTTACTTACTGAAAAGAGGTGGATTTGTCTGACCCAATGAAATCACACAAGAAAAATATTCAGGGAAATTCTAGCAGTCCCCTGAAGGGCTCGGAAAGTAGCAAGCAAGAAAGCAGTGGTGTCTGCTGCCCTTTACATTGGTGCTTTGGTTTGAATCCACCCTCCTCAGGGCTCAACTCAGGGCCATAGCCAGAAAATTTTGGGTGGTGGGGCACTGGGAAATCCAGGGGAGTGGGAGAGAGTGAGGTGGGGAGGGGGGAAGTGAGAGAGAGATCCCAGCTGCAGCTGAAGGCGGCTTCAAAAGCAGGAAAAAGACCTCCCCTTGTGCTTCTCCGACTGTGGGAGAGGCACGGGCTCGCTTGGTATTCTTCCTGCTTCCGCAACAGACTTCAGCTGCAGAAGCAGGAAGAAGACCTCCCCCAACGCCTCTCTGACTGTCGGAAAGGCGTGCGCTCATCCTGTATTCTTCCTGCTTCTGCAGCCGACTTCAGCTGCGGAAGCAGGAAGACGCAGCAAGCCCACCCTCTCCAACAGTCAGAAAGGCGCGGCTGCTCATGAGGGATGGGAAGTGAAGGGACAGGGCTAATTTGGTGGGGGGGCATTGCCCCGAAAGGCCCCACTGTGGCTATGGGCCTGGCTCAACTCCATATTACAGTTCCTTCCGTGTTTATATCCCCTTTTTCTTTTGCAGATACAGCCTCCAGGATTGCTTGATCAGAATAAGAATGCCACCGGGGTGGGGTGGGGGAGGGAGCAAACATTAACCTTTTCTTCCCCTGCCATTTTCTTGCTCAAAAATGCCAGCTGCCTTTCACCCAGCTGGACTTGGTTGGCCCAGGCTAGCCTGGTCTGGTCAGATCTCAGCTGCTCAGCAGGGTTAGTGCTCGATTAGTACTTGGGGCTGAGACCAGCAAGCAAGTCCAGGGTCACTATGCAGAGGCAGGCAAATGGGAAACCATCTCTGAGTGTCGTATTGGTTTGCAGTAGAACAGCTGGAATCCAGTCCCGTAGCACCTTACCTTAGAGACCAACAAGATATTTTTTTTGGGGGGGGGGGTTTCTTCTTGCCTTGAAAAAGCTGTGCAGTAGCCATAATTCAGCGGCGACTGGATGGCACTTTCTACCACCACACCTGTATTCCCCCTCCTCCAGGGGAGACAGAAGCAGCTTAGTGATGGCTTTTCCCAGCAAGAGTTACACCTGTGCCATTCTCCTGTTTGATAAAGCGATCCTGAAGGCTGCATTTGAATGTTAAAAGAAAGCTGTTTAAAAATAAACATGGAAAGCCTGTGGCTGAACCAGGGCTGTAGCCAGGATTTTTCATTTGGAGGGGCAAATTTTTTTCTTGTGGGGGCACCCCTTATGCTTATACTTTAAAATAATAAATAATAAAGACAAGTCATCTGTCACTCAGAAATGTTTCAAGTTTATTTCAGAAATGCTAACCATTACAGATCTGGTGGTCTGTCACCTAAAAATGTTTCTGGTTTATCACGGACATGCAGCAGACAAATCAAGACTATCACACCCCCACCATGAACTTTGTATTTTAGTTTTTGTTTTTTTAAAAAGCATGAAATTTGGTTCTGTGCCCCCAACCCCCCCTCATGAGATTACATCTTGAAAACCAAAAAGCAAACAAACATGAACGGTTTCTTTTACTTTTTTTAAAATGGCAAGTCGGGGGGGGGGGCTGGGCTGGATGGGAAGTGTGTGTGGGGGGGTTGGCAGTAAGTCGGGGGGCTGGGCCCCAAGATGCCCCACTGTAGCTACAGGCCTGGGTTAAACCCTAACTTTACTAAGCAGGACCTTAGTGTTGCCCTGTGGCAGGTGGGACAACGGTGATTCTTCAAGAGCTGTGCCTTGTTGAATCACCATCTCCAAGGCAACCCAGTAAAACTTGAAAATTATTCTGTCCAAACAAGTTTGAAACCTTCCTCTGACAGAAGTCTCTCTTCATCTAGTGGAAGAGCCTCTTTCATTAGAGGAAGGTTTGCTGGGCTGGGCTGGGGCTCAGTGGTAGAGCCTCCGCTTGGCATGCATGAGGTCCTGGGTTCAATTATTGGCATCTGAGTAGACAATACTGAACCTGATGGACCAATAATCTGATTCAGTATAGGCAGATTCGTGTGTTCATGTGTTCAAACTTGACTTACTGGAGTAGTAGTGGAGAGGCATTAGACCCTGAACACCTTTATAATGGTGTTCAGGGTCCAATAAAGATGTATTGAGGCTTGCTTCCAGAACAAAATCTGTTCTCTGTTGCACAATGCTCTGCCCCCCCCATTTTGAAGGCAAATCCAGATCTGCCTGTAAGAATTGGGCATGGGCATGGTCCAGAAAAAAAACACCAGACTATGGAGGTTCAAGGTCTGTGGGGTTTACGGACCTCCAGACCACGAAACTCCATGTTTAACGGACTGGATCGTGGTCTGTTTGGTACGTGATGCTGCACGACTTAGAAAGCCATTTAAGGGAATGCATTCCCTTTAAATGGCTGCTGCAAGGCCGCACAGCGTATGAGTGAGGGCCATGTGGTGACTTCACCCACTTCTGGTTCCCTTCTGGCTGAAGCAGAAGTGGATGAAAGTGCCACTTGGCCTTCACTCGCGTGGCGTGTGGCTTTAAACGGCTTTTACAAGCCCCACCAAAATGGACCTTATGAACCTTCCGGGAGGGTCGTGGGAGGTCCGTGTCAGCGGCATGGCATATGGACCAGGCTCGCAGACCACAAACTAGGCCCCAGTCCATGGCCATCCCTAGTAAGAATCATGACTGTTAATGGACTTGCCCCTCAGCTGAGCTTAAACAAAACATGTAATCAAAAGAACTAGAGTGTTGTGAAACTAAAGCTAAATATACTTCAGTGAATCTGGGGGGGGGGGAATTGACACATAAAGGTTTTACTACTTCCTTAAAAGCAACAGAACGTAAGCAGGTTGCACCTAAACCTCTATATTCTGTTTTTCACAGCACATATGCACTCTGTAGCTTTTGTCTTTAAAAAACCCACTTTCAGATGGTGCTGAAAAATCTCAGTGGCTCAAAATGGTAAAATTACTACAAATAATGGTGCGCCAGTCTTCGTTAAACAGCTCCACTGTTACATCAAAGTCTCCCTGTAAGAAAATGACAGCAAAGTATTAGCTCAGCATAAATCTGCAACGACTGCGCCCTTCTTTCACAAAGTAAGGACTGTACTACAGTGTTATGCTTGGGATCTACTTCTGGATCACACGATATGTAACTGGAGGCCACGATGGCTCAGAAATTAAGACGCTGAGCTGCAGACTGGAAGGTCTGTAGTTTGGCAGTTCGAGACCCTAGTGCCGCGTGATGGAGTGAGCTCCCGTCTCTGGCCCCAGCTCCTGCCAACCTAGCAGTTCGAAAGCAAGAAATTGCAAGTAGATAAATAGGTACTGCTTTGGTGGGAAGGTAACAGTGTTCTGTACAAGTTTGCATTTAGTCATGCCAGCCACATGACCGTGGAGAAGTCTTCGGACAGCGCTGGGTCTTCAGCTTGGAAACAGAGATGAGCAGTGCCCCCTAGAGTCGGATTCAACTGGCTTTCGAGCAAGGGAAACCTTTACCTTATATGTAACTGAGCGGCAAAACAAGGATGCTGGGGAAGGACTGACTGAGGATGCGGAAGTAGGGGGGGGTAAAATCTCAAGCCATTTCCTCAACCGGCAGTGCCTCCCCAGGGCCTGCCTTAGTGCAGGTACTGTCTTTCTCTACTGAAGCTCAAAGCAGCCTGGGGAGCAGGTTTCCAGTCAGCAAAACTGAAGGTCTCATTACGTGACATGTAAATTGCAAGTTGGGTTAGGGACTTCCCAAGTTCTAAGGTTGCCAGGTCACCTCCGGCCACCAGTGGGGGATGAGGAGGTTAGGGTTGTCCTATCCAGGCTCGGAAACTCCTGGAGATTTGAAGATGGAGTTTGGGGGGGGGGACAGGGACCTCCGTGGGGCACAGTGCCATAGAGCCCACCCTCCAAAGCTGCCATTTTCTCCGTGGGAACTGATCTCTGTAGTCTGGGGATGAGCTGTAATTCCAGGGCAGGTCCCACCTCAAGGCTGGTGTCCTTGTCCCCAACTGACTCACATTTCACATCTGACCGGGAGTGGGCAAATTGGCTGCAGAGCACGGTGTGGTGGCAGGAGGGGCTTCAGCCTTCTCTCCGTTTCACCCCATGCAGCTTTCGACAGCACACCCCCCCCCAACCCACCATTTTGTTGTTGACGGAAGCAGCAGCGTGGGACGGAAGGCTGAAATCCCTCCTGCTGCCCCACAGTGTCCTGCGGCCAATTTGCTCCCCCAACTATTTTGAAGACAAGTCCCACCCCTAACCCGAACTCATCTTTCACCTCTTCTGTAATGAGACCGTGAGCTAAGGAAGTTCATCCTGGCAAAAAAAAGGGGGGGGGATGTCAGAGAGTCCGCATACCTGTTGGCATTTGGCTTGTGAGGCCAACAGCTGGTGGACACCTATTCTTCACACACAAGGTATGACACCCAGCTTAATCTGTTGTTGGGCGGTCAGTCTGACTCTACCCCAGATGACCTGGACTGGGCGCTTCAGGATGTGGCAGGCTGGCTTAGACTGAGCCGATTGAAATTGAATCCAACGAAGATGGAGGTCCTGTGCCTGAGTCGGAGCAGGTCGGGGGTAGGGATCCCACTACTGACCTTCGATAGGACACCACTGGTGCCAGCACTGAAGGTTTCGGAGTGCTCCTGGATGCTGCCTTAACCATGGAGGCCCAGGTAGCAGCCACTGCCAAGGCAGCCTTTTACCATCTACGGCTGATTAGGCACCTGGTTCCCTTCCTCGAACACAATGACCTGGTGACAATGATTCATGCTATGGTCACCTCAAGATTAGACTACTGCAACGCTCTCTACATGGGGCTGCCCTTGGCCCAAATCCGGAAGCTGCAGCTGGTGCAAAATGCGGCAGCCAGGCTGTTGATGGGCCTCTCTATACGAGACCATGCAGAGAGGCCGTTACATGCTTGCTTTCATTCAGAAGCATACTGCAGCCCCTGTAGGAAGACAGATGCCAGCCAAGCCCTCACAGAATTAGAACCTGTTGTTGTTTTGTCACACAGTGGAGTCTGACTCTTCGCGACCCCATGGACCACATCATACCAGGCCCTCCTGTCTTCCGCTGTCCTCTGGAGTTTGCTCAATTTCATGTTCGTTGCATCTCATCCTTCGCCGTCCCCGTCTTCTTTTACCTTCAATCTTTCTCAGCATCGGTGTCTTCTCCAGTAAGTGCTCCCTTCTCATTTGGTGGCCAAAGTATTTGAGCTTCAGTTTCAGTATCTGGCCTTCCAGGGAACAGTCAGGGTTGATTTCTTTTAGGATTGACTGATATGATGCTTATGCAATGTCCTCTGTCACCATATGTTCCCTAGAGGTCATGGACAGTCCTCTGTACCTGAGATATGGCACCAGTTGCTTTAAGGGGAAGTCAAATAGCATTATGCCTCACTTCCAGGATAACATGGTAGTGGTTCAGCCAGACAGTCTGTGTACCCTACCAGAGTACATAGATCTATAAGACTGCAACCTGCTTTCTCTGACATATAGTTTTCAGTAGGATCTCAAGATGATAGCTTTGAAGTAAATGGCTCGCAGATTGTATCCTTTGATTATTTAAATTACATGCACCAGCAATTACTTTTTCTGCTGCTACTGCTTAATTAGAATAAGAGAGGTGTTTCAGTGACGGATGTCTTATTCCTTTTCTCTATGATCTTATTTAAATGTTAGATGATTACACCTTTACACAAATCTTACAGAATCCAGTGCTAACGGAATGTAAAAAGAAAAACACCATGCTCTGCAGGCAGACAGTTGATCCAGAAATGTTTCCAAGAGTGGGATGTGTCTTTACATTTTCATAATTAATTTCAGTGGTGGAGCTAATCTTGTGTGTGCATGTATTTGGATATTTGTATCTTCACTGAAATTAAAGAGGGGTATCTTGTAATCGAATGAAAGCAGTAATTAATTGATGCAGTCATAGTTAACTTGCTGCTAGACACTTCAAATTTATTTGTTAAGATAATTCATAAAGGTTGTAGCTCCTCTTGGCCAGGTGGACTCTCTGTTGATATTCATCCTTCTTATGATACCTTCAAAGAAGATTGACTATTCCAAAGTTCCACAACACTCCGTCCTTATACCTCCCCTTGAGTCATTTTCTCCTCTTCCAGTAAAACAATCAGCCAATCATATTTGGAGCAAAGTTCCATCATCTTTTTAACCTTTTAATATGAAAATGCAATATTTCTTGAAGTAATGTCCCCTTTGTTAGCAAGACGCTTGTTTTTTAACAATTAGTTGGAGCCAGCTTGCTCTTCCAGACAGAATCACATTTCTTCAGGAAATTAGCTGTAATGTCACATCTCTGAGAAAAACACATTTCTTTCATGAGATGACTCCTCTTGCTTTGATATGGCCTGGTTTAAGCTCCTATGAGCTACCTGACAGTGGGGTAACACCGAACACTGATCTGGTATGCATCTCTGGATTGTCCTAAATATCAGCTATTATTTCCAATGGATCAGGTGCAAACTTGGATATCTAGTAAACTCCTTTCTTAGGTAGTTATTTTAAGGCTGTTTCACACATATGTGTTTGTCACTTGATGGCTTTCATTTACAAACGAGCCATGACTGATAATGGATTGAGAATGGTAGAATGGCCATGTCACCTCAAGCAGTTCACATCTTCAACCTGGGTCAAGTGGTGGATCAAACAGTTCGTACATTCAGCTTGGGTAGAGTTGTGGACTATTGGGTAGAGTTGTGTGCACTATTAATATAGTGCATCTACTAAATAAGGTTACAACAGGCATAGCCCTTGTTAATACATCTAGTTTTTGTGATACGTTAACATAATCACAGCACTGCTGCTGGTAGCTTTCCCACCTGGTTAGTATTTGTATTTCAGAGAGTAAACCAAGAACTTACTTGGGGAATGTCATGGATATCGAGTGAAACAGGCCCTTCATAGATGATATGCTCTGCAAAACAAATAGACCAGCGATGGTTTAAGAAGGTCAGGCATGGTAGAAACCATTAACATCTAAATAGTACACTGACTCTGCACACAATATCCATAGTGAAAACGAACAAATCATGCATATAGGATGGAACCCAGAGATCAATATTGCTTTTCTAAAAGCTGTAAGGTCGGTAGTTCAGCAGTTCGAGTCCTGAGTGTCGCATGACGGAGTGAGCTCCTGTCTCTAGTCCCAGCTCCTGCCAACCTAGCAGTTCGAAAGCAAGAAATTGCAAGTAGATAAATAGGTGCCAGTGCCACTTCGGTGGGAAGGTAACAGCGTTCCGTGTGCCTTGGCGTTTAGTCATGCTGGCCACATGACTATGGAAACATCTTCGGACAGTGCTGGCTCTTTGGCTTGGAAACGGAGATGAGCACCGCAACCCTTGAGTCGGATTCGACTGGCTTTCAAGCAAGGGAAACCTTTACCTTTACCTTTTACCATCCTAATTTCCAGGTGTTTGTTACTCCTGTAGCTCTTTCCAGCAGCTACTTCAATAAACCTCAGCAGCATCAATGTGGCTTCGGCTTCTATTGCATCTCTGTTTCCCTGAGGCCTGCCACTTTCAAAGACTGATGGTTTCCCAAGGTCTGTACCCCATCTTTGCTCGTTTGAAAAGCTCTGCCAGGTTTCAAAGAGAAAACAAGTGTTGTTAAAAATGGACATTAAGCTGGTTACCATTGCAAGGAATAATTTACAGGACCAAATATATCTATTACAGATGGCCAGTCTTGCACTTCAGCCTGGAAGTTCTGTTTTTTAAAAAACGTTGGCAGCTAGTTTGTTTGTTTTATGTGTTGCATTCCTACCCTGCCACACGGCCAGAAAATGGGTGGCTTGTAAAATTTGTGTTAAAATAAAGCCCAACAAAATTTCGAAGCAAATTTGCCCTGACCTGGATAGCTCAGGCAAGCCTGATCTTGTCAGACCCTGGAAGCTAAGCAGGGCCAGCTCTGGCAAGTAGGATGGGAGACAATCAAGCCACCCCTAAAGTAGGAGTCTTCAGAAGTCAACCATGAATTCCAGGCCAGCACAAAACACACACATACACTCAGATATCTATCTATCTATCTATCTATCTATCTATCTATCTATCTATCTATCTATTATCTATCTATCTATTCCAGTAAAACCAACTCTATAATAATTGAAAGGCATTAACAATAAAATGTTAATGACAAAAAAATTTGAAAGGCATCCTTTGTTTGTTTGAAGGCACACAGCAGCAGATAAAATGTGTGAGCTTGTGCAGAGCTTGAAATAAATTCTGCATAAGATTCTGATCTATTCAAGATCTTTTGGATACACAGCCAGCCAATGTGGCATAGCGGTTAAAGTCTTGGAGTATCAATCAATCAGTCAAATCAATCAATCAGTTTATTACAGTCAGAGACCCGTCAAATAGCAGCATATCATAACAAATTTGTGATACAACTAAATATAACCAAATGTAGCCAAATAACAAAATATACAGTTCAAAACAGACATGGCCTAAAACCTGGGTATATAAATTCCAATACCGATTCTAAAATTTTAGACTTAAAATTGGTAAAAGGTTAAATATTTTTGTTTAGCAACTTTTCCCGGTGTTTTATAGCTTGAATAGTAAATGTTGCCACTTTTAGAGAAATTTCCTGATCCTTATCAACTAAAAGCTTATCTAAGTAAAATCTGGTATCCATCCCTGGGAACTGGCTACAGATCGGAGATATATAAACTGTCCGAATATTCTGATAAAGTTTACACTCAAAAAGTACATGTCCCCTTGTCTCTATCTTACTCGCCCTGAAGATGCACCTTCTTTCATCGTATGGACGCTTTTTGTATCTGCCCTCTGTGACCACTGAGGGCAGCATATCCACTCGCATAGAGTAAATGCTCTTCTGTAGTTGGGTTTGTCGAGATTCTGTAGGTAGGATCTGAGAGTTCCAGGTTCACGTCCACTCTGTTATGATGCTCACCTTGGGCCAGATACTCCGTCTCAGCCTGAACAACCTCACAGAACCAGATCACGTAGGGGTGTTGAACTCATTTGTTACGAGGGCCAGATCTGACATAAATGAGACCTTGTTGGGCTGGGAAACGTGTGTCATAAAACATAATGCCGGGTAGTGGAGATAAAAACTTTATAAAGGACACAACAACAATTAAAGATTTTTTAAACTTTAAATAACACATTTCCAGTGAGTTTAACACCCCTGAATAAGGTGTCCTGAGCTCCTTGGAGCACAGATGGGATAAAAACATGATAGATTAATAAACCCTTTGAATGGTATCCCCAAGATTCAAGAACCAAGTGGGTGTCATGGTGCCCCCAGGCACTATGCTGGGTGTGATTTGGCCTTTAATGATTAACACCAGAGCTTTGTGTTGAGAGACTAATCGGGAGACAATGGGACTGTGTCAGCATAGATATGCTGTGCTGCTGCAGTTCTGTTCTGTAATTAAATGAATGGCCGTGATCTGAACAAACGAAACTTACCAGCCAACCTTGAAAGCCAGCCCTACAAAGCATGTGGTGCAGTAATTCAGCCTTGAGGTTTTAGAAATATATATCACAGTGGCCAAATCATTTGGACTGTGAGTTCTAACAACAAGGCAGAGGCAGTGTACCTCTGAATACCAGGTGTGGACATCCAATGTGTCTTCAAGCTGGGCTTGTGATCTGCTGACTATACGGAATGCTAGACTAAATGAATCCTTGGCCTGATCCGGAAGGGATCTTGTGTTATATTCTGCAATTTGTGGCAGATCATGGCCACAAACAGACTTGGGGCCTAACTACATGGTATACTCAGGGGTCATTTCGTAGAAAAAGAGCTAGGGGGACTCATTAGCATAACTCATTAGCATATGCCACACCCCCTGACATCACCGGAAGTGTGTCCTCCCCACAGCCGGCGGCGACCTCCAGCGGGCACCAGCAGGGAGCTCCAGGCCCCGCCCTCCCGCACCACACCCGGGGGGATGGCGTCCCCCCGCGCTCCCCCCCAAATGACCCCTGGGTATACTGTTTCTGGTCAGAAGATGTACACTGGGAGTTCCCTGTTGAAATTTTATTCCCAGATATATATGGGGGGATTCAGATCTAGACTGTGGTATGTGAGATGAGGGAGCTTACACGTTCTCAGCTGCACCGTTTCCCAATCTAAATTGCCCCAGATAGCAGCTGTTTGCCCCATTGGGGAAACATGTATACTGATGATCTACACATAAGTTTCTCCAGTGAGGCAAATACCATCTCCCTTTGGACCTTTTAGGTAAGGAAAGGATGCAGGTGGGAAGGCTTAAGCTTCCTTTCATGGCATGCCATAGTACCAGACCTAATCAGGCCCCCATATACCTGAAAACGAAGTTTCAACAGCAAACTCCCAGAACACATCTGCTGGACAAAATCTGGAGCGGACCTGAAAGAAGTGTAACGTGTAGTTGGGCCTTTACACTCCTATGCCAAGGGAAACCCTGTGATAAATAGAAAAAACTTTAAAATTTCCATAAAAATACACAATACAAATCTCTATGCACAGAATGATGTATAATGAAAAATGCTCTAAAAATGCAGATACTGTCCTTTCTCCTCATCTTGTTAAAGAGAAAGTGGCTGTTCAAAACAACCTGGTAAGACCTCATTGGCATATGGGAACAGTGTCTGTATTAAGATATATGGTATTATCTAATGCAATCAGCCATGGCTTTATATCATAATATACTTCAGTTAGAGAAAACAATTTTCGTGCCTTACTAAGATTAAGGACTTGCAAAGCCCCAGAAGAATTTGGCTTTGTGATTTAATATGTAAGCAGCAGTTTGTGTTGTGCCTGGCATGGACTCCAGTTCTATAATGTATTTTCTACAGGTTCTTATTAAGCACTTCATCAGAATAAGACAGCCTTCTGGTAGGATCTGTGGGTGCCTTTATTTTCTTTTCTTTAATTCAATATACAATTGAAAGTGTCTTGGAATTTAATTTTTGCATCAGTCTGGCTTCTATAATTTGCATGATTGGTTGCTCTGGCAGCTTTTGTCTATTATGCCGAGCAATATTTCTATTCCATGTAAAAATATGCTAGTAACACCCCAGAGTCCATCTTAGCAGATGAACTGTTGCACAGTCATGAAACTCACGGCAGTGTATGGCAAGTCAATTAGTTATTACACGTCCGATTGAGATCCAACTGTAGCAAAGAAAAAGCGAAGGGCCTTTGTGTGTTATTGACTCACTTGCTAGTGAGAGATGTTCAGTTTTCATTTGTTGCATTCTCTCTGCATGTCTTAACATGTGCAGGAAAAAAGAAAGTATGTGCTGATAGCAGCCTGCTTTATAGCACTTGGGCACATCCACCAAGTAGTAACATGTCCCTGATTTTACATTTTCTGTGCACTCTCTCTTTTTCTTCACTTTTGTCTTCTGTATCTCGACCCTGGAGAAAGACCATTAACTTTTGTATTCTCTAGAACACCTACCATGTTTGGTGCTAAACAAGGATAACAGCTAGTAACCAGCAGAAGTAATACTCGTCAATCATCATGGCTGTTAGGAAAGGATAAATGTGCTTTTAGAATAACACAGCTGGAATGGGACAATTAAACCCTACTGTTAAATTTCAGGAAAGGAGGAATAGCCCAGCAGGAACTAATTCGCATAAAAGGCCATACCCAACAGCAGGAACTAATTAGCATATTAGGCCACACCCCTGAGAGCACAGCTCATTCACATATTAGGCCACACCCCCGTGTTACCAGAAGTGTGGTCACCCAGCTACACCCACCTTTTGCTTCTTATTCTCTTTACTTTGTTTGTTGACAAAACCCAGGGCTTTGTTTTTGGAGCAGGAACTCCTTTGCATGTTAGGCCACACACCCCTAATTGTAGCCAATCCTAATGAGTTTCTGCTGTTGGGTGTGGCCTATTATGCTAATGAGTTCCTGCTGGGCGTGGCCAACTTGGGAGCCAGCCGGAACTCCGTTCCTGTGCGTTCCTGCCCAAAAATAGCCCTGTATTGATTGAGCTGGGAAACTGAATCCCAGGCTGTGATCAAACACAAAATAATTCACTTTCAATCCACTTTCCATGCACTGTCCAGCTGTATTTTGCCAGTTCACACAGGAAAATCCAGTTGGAAAGTGAGCTGAAAGTGAATTGAAAGTGGATTATTTTGTGTGCGTGATCGCAGCATAGATCTCAAGTCCACCATTTGGCTAAGCTGTCAAAGTGCCTTGAGGTTCCCACTTTGGCAGGCTAAACTCCTTTAGTCCTGATTTTTGCTGTGATTGGTCAAGAGTTAGTTTGGAGGGAAACTTTGCATCCTGATTTATGGTTGACTCAGGGAAAGAACTCCTACACCGCAGGGGAATCCATAAATATGTTAGCTTGGACAGCAGTTCTGTGTCAAGTCTCTGATACCAAGGACAGCCCTTGTCAGGCTGTGCCGTTGCCCTGTTTTGGATCCATTTCCAAGAGAGGACATGTAGAGGTTATAAAGAAACGTTAGCTAGCAATTAACCATTTGATTCTTTTCTAAGTGCTGTGCCTTATATCTATTGATCTATAGATTATTCCCAGATATCTGCTTTTTACTATATGTGCTTAAGTAACCTAAGAGGCGACTCTACACATGGACATCACCAGATGGGCAACACCGAAATCAGATTGATTACATCATTTGTAGTCAAAGATGGAGAAGCTCTATACAGTCAGTAAAAACAAGACCTGGAGCTGACTGTAGCCCAGATCATGAGCTACTCATTGCAAAATTCAGGCTTAAACTGAAGAAAGCTGGGGAAACTGCTAGGCCATTCAGGTTTGACCTAGATCACATCCCTTATGAATATACAGTGGAGGTGAAGAATAGGTTTAAGGGACTAGGGCTGCGGTCACACGGAACAGAAGCCACACAAGTGAGACGGAAAACAGGCGGAGTTTCCGGGCGCGATCTCACCAGCAAATCTGGGAAGCGTAGCACTCCCGTGGCACAACTGAGGCTTCCAGCCGAAACTGCGTGGCAAAAAACTAGTACCTCGCAGGTACTAGTTTCCGGAAACTGCGGGGCAAGGGCGGGCGTCTGATCGCGTTTCCGGTGGCATCCGGCGCCCGCCCATGTCCCCTTGCAAATAAGGTGGGTTTTTTTGTCCACGTCTCTGTGGATGCGCACACGCACCCAACGGAGCATGCGCATTCGTCGTGTACACACAAAAACAAAACAGTTTGCCGCGGCGCCTGCTTCTTCATTGCGTGCCGGCTTGTCCTGTGATCAGCACCTCTCCCTTGCCATGGAACCTCCACGGTACCTCCACAGGACCTCCACAGGAGGTCTGATCGCGTAACTGCGCAGTAGTTTGCCCCAGGGCAAACAGCCACACTTCTCCCCCGCAGTTTCCTGCCCGTGTGACCGGGGCCTAGATTTGATAGACAGAGTGCCTGAAGAACTATGGACGGAGATTCGTGACATTGTATAGGAGGCAGCAATCAGCACCATGCCAAAGGGAAAAAAAAATGCAAAAATGTGAAGTGGCTGTCTGACGAGGCTTTAGCTGAGGAAAGAAGGAATGCAAAAGGCAAAGGTGAAAAGGAAAGATGTACCCAACTGGATGCAGATTTCCAGATAACAGCGAGGAAAGATAAGGAGGCCTTTGTGAATGAACTATGCAAAGTAATAGAGGAAAACAATAGAATGGGAAGGACTAGAGATCTCTTAAAGAAAATTGGAGAAATCAAGGGAATATTTTGTGCAAAGCTGGCCATGATAAAGGACAAAAATTGTTGGGACCTAACAAAAGCAGAAGAGATTAGGAAGAGATGGCAAGAATACACAGAAGAACTATACAAGAAGGAACTCCATGTCCCTGTCAACCACAATGGTGTGATTGCTGACCTCGAGCCAGACATCTTGGAATGCGAAGTCAAATGGGCCTTAGAAAGCATTACTAACAACAAAGCTAGTGGAGACGATGGTATCCCAGCTGAACTATTCTAAGTCCTAAAAGATTATGCTGTTAAAGTGCAGAATATGCCAGCAGATTTGGGAAATGCAACAGTGACCACAGGATTGGAAAAGGTCAGTTTACATTCCAATCCAAAAGAACGGCAATGCCAAGGAATGTTCAAACTATCGCACAATTGCACTCATTTCACACGCTAGCAAGGTCATGCTCAAGATCCTACAAGCTAGGCTTCAGCAGTACGTGGACGGAGAACTGACAGAAGTACAAGCTGGGTTTTGAAGAGGGAGAGGAACTAGAGATCAAATTGCCAACATTCATTGGATTATAGAGAAAGCAAGGGATTACCAGAAAAACATCTAGTTTTGCTTCATTGACTATGCTAAAGCCTTTGATTTTATGGATCACAGCAAACTGTGGCAACTCCTTAAAGAGATGGGAGTACCAGACCACCTCACATATCTCCTGAGAAACTTGTATAAGGGTCAAGAAGCAACAGAACCAGGTTGGTTTAGAATAAGAAAAGGAGTATGACAAGCCACAGGTGAATGTAGTTAAAACAAGCACATTGCTTTTAGCAGGCTGGGCCAGGGGCCCTGCCAAAACTTACAGCCTAAGGAAAGTGATAAACCCAAACAACATAAAGGCTTAATGGCATCTATTCCTTACAGGGTATAAAGAGGATACTGGCCAAATGTTTTATGCAAAACATAGATGCTGCAATTGAAAGAACTTGCTGTGTTAAAATAAGTAGACTATTAGGATAGTTCCAACCTGGTATATTTTTCTGACCAGGGGTCATTTCATAGAAAAAGAGGTGCAGGAGCTCATTAGAATAACTTATTTGCATAACTTATTTGCATATGCCACACCCCCTGACATCACCGGAAGTGTGTCAGAAGGCAACACCCACCACTCAGGCTTCACTGGACTGTTTTGGATTGCTAGCTATGGGGGGGGGGACGTGCAGATCTGTCCTCACAGAGGAGGGAGAGCTTGTACCTGAAGGCTGGGGGGGGGCTCTGCAACTTACTATGCTGCTTCTTGCTCCTCGTGGCCCAACTGAGGGGCTCTGGGAGCAGGGAGTAGGGCTTGTTGCATGTGGCCCTGGGCTCCTTCTCCGCGAGCCAGTTTGGTGTAGTGGTTAACTGTCTGCACTCTAATCTGGGAGAACCAGGTTTGATTCCCCACTCCTCCACTTGCACCTGCTGATGTGACCTTGGGTCAGTCACAAGCTCTGGCACAGCTGTTCTTGAAAGAGCAGTTTGTGTCAGAGCTCTCTCAGCCCCACCCACCTCACAGGGTGTCTGTTGTGGGGAGGGGAAGGGAAAGGAGTTTGTAAGCCGCTCTGAGACTCCAAGTGAAGGGCGGGGTATAAATCCAATCTCCTCCTCCTCCTCCTTCTTCCTGCCGGAGCTCTGCTCCTGTGCGCTCCCACAGGAAATGACCCCTGCTTCTGACACACTGTATATTCTCCCTGCTTATTAGACCTACTAGGCAAGTGCTTAGAAGGTACGTAGAAAAATTAATTACCTCCTTTCTTCCTTCCACAGAAACTGAAGTTTGGATGATCCCCCTCACAAAGTTGTTTTGAGAAAAATGGGATGCTCTTGCCATTCAAGATGATATTTGTCGTCACAAAGAGTTCCCTGATGTTGTACCCTGCAGAGAGAGTGATGTGTGAGTGATCACGATCAACTTGCTTGGAAACCAAGGCAGTTATCACAATGCTTGCTTTAAAAAAAAAAAAAAAAAGCAATATTTTATTGAATTTTAACATTCATTGTTACAAAGTTCATAGCAACGGTGTTTCTAGCTGCATAGAGCAACAAAGATGCTCTTTCCATGTTAGAATAGGAGCCATCCCTGGAGGCCCAACCATTCAATCAGCGGTGTTCTGGTGTGATATTGAGGGCTGTACTAGTGATGGATTTGATTTGTGTTGCTATGGATTCCCAAAAAGGAGTAACTACGGGATAATATATCCAGCAGTGTAAATAATTTCCTTTGTTGCCACATTTGGGCTACTCAAGGAAGAAGAACGGGCTAGATACTAATGTAAAAGTAGTTTAAAGAATTGCAATTTTACATCAGTGATTTCGGAGTGAAATGGAGAGGTATTCCAGATAGTGGACCAGGAATCATCAGGGATACTTTTTGTGCCTTACCTCCTCTGGACATTCCTGAATACAAAAGCAATATTGCCCTCAAATTTGCTGATGGTCTGGTGAGGGCCTTGGGATTCAGATGGTTTTACTAAATGAATCTGACTGCTATAAGGCCAGAGTCACCCGTGTTTGCAAACATTTGATCTCAAAAACACTGCCCTCCTGGGTGGGCTGGCTAGGACAAGAAAGTGGCTGCCTGGCAAGGCAGAAATCAAAGTTGAATCAAATGGGTCGTGGTCAGTGTTCCCTCTAAGCTGAGTTAGTGTGAGCTAGCTCATAGTTTTTTAGCTTCCGGCTCACACATTTTTGTCTTAGCTTGGGAAGGATGGCTCCAGAGCACACTAATTTATGCAGTAGCAAAATCGCTTGCTCACCACTTTAATGCCAGTAGCTCACAAAGTGGAATTTTTGCTCACAGGACTCCACAGCTTAGAGGGAGCACTGGTTGTGGTTGGAGCCTGATAGATTCCGGCAGGTCATGTTTGGAGTCTTGTTGGCTGACAGATTAAATAAGTAGCATAAGAATCTTCACCAGACCCGTGGATTTAACTAGGGACAAGAAGGGAAGAGTGAAATGGAGGAAGAGGGGAGAGCAGGAGAAAGAGTATTATCACTGTAATATTTTTTCTTTTCTTAGCTATTTTTTGCTTCTATTGGACAGTATGCCTAGAGCATTAGATGACACATCAAATTTGGATTGATGCAAGGTTATGCTGGCAGTTTCCTAACACACAGAATCAGTCAATCAAAACTTCACAGCTGATCCTGAGTTGCAGGCTCTCTAAAGTCTCTTCAGGTGCAAAAGGAATTGAAGTCTACAGTGTTGACCCTTGGAATTAGCAATGTACAAGTGGGAACCCGAGAGAAACTTGCGGGGAGAGGGCATTCCCCTACCTTTGCTTACTTCCATCTCCCCCATCTTCCCCCTTCTTTCTCTCCCGAAGCCAATCCCCCTTCTTTTTCTTGCCAATCCTCCACCAAGCCAATCATTCCTAGTTTTTCTTTCCCTTTCTCTCTCCCAAGCCAATCCCCCCTTTTTTCTACCTCCCTCTTTTCCCCTACCTTTGAGCACAGCAGCGGTAGCAGTGCCTGGGAGAGGAATTTATTTTTGGGTGGAATCCAGACCCCCCCCCCCCAATGTATTTTTTTCCAGATTTTTCTGCAGAACTAGGGGGTCACCCAAGTCTGCAGAAAAACTTGTTTGGGGTAAGGATGCCCCCTATCTGTGGACTTAGATATCCGCACATAGGGGACTGTTGAGAATTAGATATATAGATGAAGCCTATGAATTTGCCAGGCCTGGTATACATAATGAGTTACTGTACAACAGAGGAGGACACACCTGTTGCTTGGGAATCAATTATCCTCTTTCTCTTATCTCTCATGTATGGTTGATATTGCTACTTGTTCTGGTGCGAGAGGAAGGGACTCAAGAAAGCACGTAGCAGAAGTTGCCTAGCAACTACTTGATATTCTTGTTGATTCTTGGGTTTAGGTTTCCATGTTCATATACCTTATGTCTGGACCAAATTGCTGTCCTTCAGACATTATTATCAACTTTTTAATAAAGGTTCCACAGATCTAAGGCCACCATCGTACTTGTGGGGAAATGGGATTGCAAAGCCTTCATTTCTGCTCATACGGGAGTGAGGACATTACTTGGCCTTCTCAGGTCACCTGGCCAGCCTGACCCGTCTGCCTCCAGGCACGTGGCTTTGAACAAGTTACTAACCTGCAGCGTTTTACCAGGCATTATTATCAACTTTTAAATAATGGTGCCACAGATATAAGGGCTCCATTTTACTTGTGGGGAAATGGGACTCACAAGCCATCTTTCTCCTTCTCTCCCACAAGTCTGCACTCTGTAGGGGCTCAAACGTTATTAAGAGCCTTTTGCTGGCTAGCAGGAGGGAAGGAGAAAGAGAAGATGACATGGCTCACATCCCAAGCATGAAGCCATGGAAGTCGCATCTGAAGCTACAGAGCTTGGGAGGTCAAAAGGCAAGAACAGACCTTCTATCAGTTCTTACTGTGGCCTCAGAGCAGGGGCCCTGTGCACTAGTGTGCCAGGGTGACCCTCCCAGGGTCTTCCTTGGCCACCTTATCTCTGTGCCTTCCCAATGAAAACAGTTGCTTTTCTCGTTTTTACCCCCTTGACCCCCCCTTGGCTTTTTTGGCTTGTGGCTGGCCTTTGGCCACACCCATGGTCTCAAATGGCCTGGGACCTTCTCTCCTGGGGTTTCTGTTCCCTCCAGCTGGTCCTCCAAGGAGAGGGCTTGTTGTCTTCCCCTCTGCCACTCCTCTTGCTCAGCCTTCCCTTTTCTTGTGGCTCTGCTCCATCCTGGGGGTCACTCTACTGCTGACCCTAGCCTCTCCCAGCTTCCCATTCCCATTGCAGCCCCACCAGTGCTCCTGACCTCTCTTCGGGGACCTTCTCTGCCCTGTAGGGTTGCCAGGCCCCCCGGTAGAGGCAGGGGTCCTTCGCCGGCACTGCTGACCTCCTTGGCCTGCGACTTGGCTGCTCCTCCTGCTGTTCTTTGACTGCTGGGCTTTATATCTGGTGGCTGACTGGCCAGGTCCCACTCTCCCAGTGGCACATCTCTTCCAGCTAGGGTTGCCAGCTCCGGGTTGAGAAATACCTGGAGATTTGGGGGATGGAACCTGAGGAGGGTGGGGTTTGGGGAGGGGAGGGGCTTCGATGGGGTAGAGTGCCGTTGAGCCCACCTTCCACAATGGCCTTTTCCTCCAGATGAGCTGATCTCTGTCACCTGGAGATCAGTTGTAATCCCAGGAGATTTCCAGCCACCCTCTTCCAGCCCAGTCCTGCCCCTGCTTGGGCCTCGTGGGGCTGGCTTGCCGGCCAGACCTTTCTTTGGGGGCAGGACAAGAAAGAGGGTCTGCCCAAGGAGGCGGAAAAGAGGAAACTATAAAATCCATGTACACGAGGAAGAAGTGGTCCTCCTGTCTGTTTTGGCATTTGGACTGCTATTCTAAGCCTCCGTGTTAACCTGGACTCCATTTTGAGCACAAGTGGCTGAGGCAGTGGTGTACTGGGCCCAATGCTCCCTCTAAGCTGTGGAGCCTTGTGAGCAAAAATTCTACTTTGTGAGCTATTGGCATGAAAGTTGTGAGCGAGAGATTTGGCTACTGCATCAATTAGTTTGCTCTGGAGCCATCCTTCCTGAGCGAAGACAAAAATGTGTGAGCTGGAGGCTAAAAAAACCTGTGAGCTAGCTCACACTCACTCAGCTTAGAGGGAACCATGACTGGGCCTATTTGCAAAATGGAGCAAAACAGAGCTCTTCTGCCAGGCTTTTGGAGCTGCCAACACTACTACCACCACCACTATCACCGCTATGACAACTGCAACCCCTGGTGGTGCTATTACTAACAACTGACTGCCATGGTGGAAGCCCTGGGCTATAGGTCCCTGTGACCGTTGCCTGGCCCAGGCCTTTCCCTCCCTTCTACAACTGAAGCAGACCAATAGAATCTTAGGTAATATCAGAAATGCTAGCACTTTAATATTGTTGATTTTAATACTGTTTTATATTATCGTATTATTTATTAATGTGATGAACTGAGTTTTATGTGTCACTAAAGTTTTATCCTGTTGTGAGCCGCCGCCCTGAGCCAGCTTAGGCCAGGACTAGGGTTGCCAAGTCGTTTCTCAGCCGCAGCGGGGGACTCCCGGGCGGCGACTGGAGCGCACCGCACACACGTCATTAGGAAGTGACGTTAGGACGCTGGGCACGCTGGGGGCGGGGCCACGACAATCGGAGGGAAAACCCAGCGTGCCCGGCGTCCTAACGTCACTTCCTGGTGACGCGCACGTCGGGGTGGGGTTCCCCCCGGGGCCCGATCTGCCACTGGCGGGGAATGGGCCTCTGGGGCGGGGGTTTCCCTGCCCCCCGGGGGGACTTGGCAAGCCTAGCCAGAACAGGCGGGATAGAAATCAATAAAATCAATCAGTCAATAAATAAATAAATGTGGTGCCTGGGGCAGATAACTTTTTAAACACCCCCTCCTCTATTTTTTTAATGTCAAGTCGCAGCTGACTTATGGCGACCCCCGTAGGGTTTTCAAGGCAAGAGATGTTCAGAGGTGGTTTGCCCATTGCCAGCCTCCCCGTCGGCCCTGCTTAGCTCCTGAGATCCGGTAAGATCAGGCTAGGCTGGGGCTATCCAGGTCAGGGCCCCTCCTCTATGCAACAAAACTATTTTCAGAAATAATCATGAAATAAAATGAATAACGATAATGGCCGGAAAATAGATTCAGATGGGGCAGCCATGTTGGTCAGAAGCAGCAGAACAAAGCTTGGTCTCAAAGATGCCACTGGGCCCACACTTTGTTTCAGTGGCCAGCATAGTGTGTTGGACTAGGATCTGGGAAGTCTAGGTTCGAATCCCCACTCATGCCATGGAAGCTTGCTGGGTGACCTTGGACTAGTCACATTACTCTCAGTCTAGCCCTGACCTGGATAGGCCCAAATTAGCCTGATCTAGCGATCCAGTTTGGTGTAGTTGTTAGGAGCGGCAGACTCTAAACTGGGAGAACCGGGTATGATTCTCCACTCCTCCACATGCAGCTGCTGGTGTGACCTTGGGTCAGTCACAAGTTCTTTCAGAGCTGTTTTCTCAAGAACAGTCCTCAAAAGAGCTCTCTCAGCCCCACCTACCTCACAGGGTGTCTGGTGTGGGGAGGGGAAGGGAAAGGAGATTGTAAGCCGCTCTGAGACTCCATCCGGTAGTGAAGGCGGGGTATAAATCCAATCTCTTCCCTTTTTCTTCTCTTCTCTTCATCGAGTCAGATCTCAGATTGATCCACACTAACCAAAAGGGACAAGAGAGGGGAGGAGGCAGCTCTTAGTCCTACTCCCTTAGAGCATCAAAACAGGCATGCCGATCCCATGACAACCAGTCAAAGAAACAGGGAATATGTAGCTGCAGAGCAGAGCCTTTTAGCAGCAAGGCAGAAGAAGATTCCTAAGAGCTAGTCCTTAGGAAGAAAATGCCATCAGGCAGAAAATGCCTTGACTAGCTGGTGGCAGCAAAAGTTACCCAGAGAGAGAATCAGATACTGGTAGTGGAGGGAGAGGGGCTGCGCAGGGCAGGTGATATGAGAAGACTGAGTAACTTCCTCTTCACCCGCCCACACCTTGTGGTCAGTGACAAAGGCTTGAAAACCCTGCAAATCCTGTTTCCCTGAAGTATTACCGTATATGTGCTCTTTCATTTCAGGCTGCATGTTGGATGCCATTTTTGAATTTGTTGTTCTGTTCTACTAGTTTTCTAATACTTGCCAGGGCTTTTGATTGTGAGGGAGCATTAAAAATGTAATTTCCCTCAATGGCAGCCTGAAGTGGTACAACCTGGTCTACTGCTACAGGGCTTACTCATATCACTCTGCTGCGTGTGTAGACTAGGCCTTTATTGAAGAGTGGCTCAGGTAACATGAGGCGATACGGAAATCCTGTCTGCAGTGTTTGGTCCGCAGTGGTTATTTCACACGTCAGTCGTTGCTAAACATGCCAGTCATCAGATGATAATGAACATAACGTGAACCAGTTTTAAGTACTGAGTGTATTAGGTTCAAGTGCCAGTCTGTGATCTTTTTTCAGAGGTAAATCATCCACAGTTGAGATCTAGGTCTCTTGCTTTTTATTAATCATTTAAGATGTGCGCATTTGTAATGATGTCTTGTTTTCATTCGTAGTAAAATATATTTTATACTTACTTAAAACTGTTGCTGCTCTGATGTTAACACTTTTGGTGGTCAGTCCAGAACAACTGCCAAGAGTAAAAGCCAAGTCTTGCAACGGATCTGTGAGGAAAAGGCAAATACAACCCATAGATAATCAATTTAATTTCCAGTACTGTGGAGACTTTATAAATAAATTGATGTTTTCTTACGTATTATCCAGAAAATATCCTTCCAGCAGTCTGGATTAAATATGAAAATTGGTTCTTAAACTTTGTTGTATTGAGGATTACCATCAGAAAGTGTCACAAGCTTATTTTCCTGTGCCAGAGGAACTTCATTACGCTTAATGTTTAATTTCCCTTCCTCTTTTCCTTTTCAACCGTCCTGTGAATTGTGGATTAAGATAATCTGACATCTGCATGATAATGTTTCACTTCTCTTTTGTCTGGTGTGTGAGTCTTGTGTAAAGAAGGTCAGCGAGAGAACATGTTCTACAATGTGTGCTATATGTGGTCATATATAACAGCAGTTGAGATGTTTTGTGCCTTAAAGTATGGATTAGTTCCCTGACTACAACAGTGACATGGCTGCACAGCAGTTGGTATCTTGTGCTTAGATGTGGTGAAATCAGGCGTGAATTTACTGGATGGCAAACTGAACCCAAGAAATTCCATTCCAGTGGTGTGTGGTTGATGCCAGACTGTACACCATTTGAGAGAATCCTGCAGTTGTTTGTGTACATTCTGCAACTTTGGCTTGGGGGAATTTGTCTTACAAGTAGCTTAATTACTAAGGGCCCTTTCGGCACTGACAGCGGGCTCCGGAGAATCAAGCCTTAAGGGTTGAGTTTTCGGACAGCGCTGGCTCTTCGGCTTGGAAATGGAGATGAGGACCGCCCCCTAGAGTCGGATTCGACTGGCTTTCAAGCAAGGGAAACCTTTACCTTTTACTTTTTCACAGTCACATGTGTTCCCTCTGCACTGGGTTTCCCCCTTCCAGTTTATTTATGTATTCTGTATGCGTTCTGCATCTATGAGCAAAGCCCGCATTTTTTTAGCGAACTGGCTGCCAACCCCTCCCTCCCTTCATGATTCTGCAAAAAGAAAGGGAAGGGAGGGAGAAATCCAGGCCCACACATGCAAGACTGACACATTTGGGAACAGGGAACCCCCTAGTCCTTTATATTTACTGATTCCTTCTTATGCTCTTTCTGACTTTTTAAAAGTTTGCCTGAGCGGGAGAACTGTCTTCTTTTGTCTTTGGAGAAGGAGGGAAAGAAAACAGAACTGGGAGGGAGTGTCAACCTAGAGAGAGGCGAAAACAGGGGGAGGACAGTGGGCGGCACTTAAATACCTGCAGAAACAATTCTACTTTAGAAAGGATTCGCAATTTGAAAGTGGATGAGAACAAAGAATCGCAGCAAAAGGAGTTTTGGTAGCTGTGGGCCAACAGTGTGCCGGAAGCAGTCTGAATGCAGATTCTTGTAAAACAAATGCAGAAACAAGAGAAAGCCCTGACACAAACTGGAAGTGGAAGCGGGAGGGAATGCAGAATGGAAAAATAGGATGTGCTCAGTAACCGAGGCAAAATATGGGTGTATATAGGACCTAAGTTAACAGCTATGGGGACTCAAGACAGCTTGGAAGTCGTATTGTTTCCAGGTGGCTGGTGGTGGTTCCTAAAATGGCTCAAGAAGATCACTCTACACATGCTAAATGGCACTTTCTTCTGTCTGATTTCAGACTAGGAATAAGGCCTGTTGTGGAAATAAATACAACGAGCTCTAGAAAGAGGTTCTGGAAGAGTGCCCCAGATTTGGGCACTCAGTGACAATTTGCTGTGGTGACCTCAGCAGGGTATAATGACACAGAGTCCACCATTTTCTCCAGGGGAACTGATCTCTGCTACCTGAAGAGCAGTTGTAATTTTGAGTGATCTCCAGCCCTCATCTGGAGATTGGCGACAGTGGTTCCCTGGAAGGGAATGGTTGGTTTGGAGGGTGGAGTCTATGGCATTGTACCTGTCTGAGGTCCCACCCCTTCTCAAGCCTCACCCTCTCCAGGAATTTCCCACTTGGAGTTGGCAACCATATCAGGACTGGGCCCAATGAGTTTTCTCCCAAAGGCCAACATAGGTGTGGAGAGGGCCTTTTACTCATAGAACCAAGCTTGGTTGCCTAGCAAGAGGCACTGAGGAGAAAGTACAGTTGCCAGCTCTGATTAGGGAAATACCTGGAGATTTGGGGGATGGATCCTGTGGAGGGCAGCATTTGGGGGGTGGAGATGGAAGGTCTCAGCAGGGTATAATGCCATAGGGTCTACCCTCCAAAGCAGCCATTTTCTCCAGGGGAACTGATTTCTGTCATCTGGAGATCAATTGTAACAGAGGGAGATCTCCAGGTCCCACCTGGAGATTGGCAACCCTAGGGGAAAGTCAGCCAAGAAGCAGGGGGTTGAAGAGAATCTTTTGATGGTCGCTGAGTCACCTCATTAGCCAGCCAGTCATGATGGAGCCAAAAAGGAGAGAGAGCCGTTTTCAGTTTATTCTGACAGGAAAGTGGCCAAGCTGGCAGTGGGCAGGGGAGGGGGGGTATGCTGAAAGTCCTTTGTCTTTTTATTGACAGAAGCAAGCTTGGTTGCCTACCAGCAGCCACTGAGGGGAGAGTTAGTCCCACACAGGAGCCAAGAGAAATGTCCATCAAGGGAGAGAGAGCTGTCTGCCAGTAAATCTGACAGGGAACAGGGGGTGAAGAGAAAATGGATGGGAAAGAGGAGCAGACCCAGCACCTGGCCAATGGCACGCGAGTACTCTTGAGTGGCGGCTGAAAGCATGGAGGAGAAAAGGGAATCCCTGTCGCTCATAATCAGCGGGGAGCTTTCCTGTACCACACCAGGCTGCCTCCTAAGCCTCCACCCAGCGGAGCGTCCATGCGCTTTGCCAGCTCCCTCCAGACTGAGGCCGAGATGCTGGGCTCCAGCTCTGTGGGTGGGACTGAGGCAACGCAGCAAGGCAATGCAGCCAGGAGGTTGGGAGACCTTCCGAGTGGCAGCTGAGCGAGCCAAATGCTGTGGGAGCATGTGGAACATTCACATCAAAAGAGAATTATATATAAGGAGAGATAGTTTAAGTTGAGCTGTGCTTTTGAAAGCAGGTTCAGGGACTAACCCCAGATGGTGCCATGTCAGCTTGCATATTCTACTGTTGTAGCATGCAGCTCAGACAGAAAAAGAAGCTCAGTTTGCTGGCATAAGAACTTGCCTCCTTTGTATTCACTTATGGAGTTCTCTTTCGCTGGCTGCGAATGAACATATCTCAAATTCTCAGAGTCAAAATGTTTATGGTTTTTTTTACCCCCAGAAGAAAACTGCACTTAAACCTTCAACCTTTCGTTTTCTTCCCACAGTTGAGAACAGACAGCATTGATATGTTCCAAGGCTTCCCTCCACCCACCTTCTACAATCTGTTATTCCCCTCAGAATTCAGCATTTAAACATCTTTTACTTGTCATACTTCATCCCTTTCATCCACTTCAGCTAATCATTTCTAGAACAGACAGGCCTCTCCCAAAAGAAGAATATACCACACAATGATACACAATGCCTTCGTATATTCCTGGGTCTAAATTAAACTGGAGTGAGAATTCTTTGTGTGTGCGTGCGTGCTATAGATAGGCATTTTCACAGATAGCAGCTCGCCTTTGAAATATTTTTCCCCTTGAGGCTTGCCTGGCACCTATAATACAGTCTTCTAGGCAACAAGCCAAAACATTTATTTTCCCCCAGGCGTTTAACTAATGGTTACCTATTTAGCTGTTTTATGACCTGATTCTGGTCTGATATCTGTTTTATGGATATTTTCAGAGTGCTTATACTGTTTTTGAAAGCATTTGAAATATTTTTGATATTTTAATGATTTTTATGGTTTTTACTTATAAGCCATTTTGAACAGGACTGTATAGAGGTGGCATATACATTTCCTACAAGAAGAAGAAGAAGAAGAGATTGGATTCATACCCCACCCTTCACTCGGAGTATCAGAGCAGCTTACAATCGCCTTCCCTTCCTCTCCCCACAACAGACGGCCTGTGAAGTAGGTGGGGCTGAGAGAGCTCCGAGAGAACCAGGTATGTCACCTTGAGCTCCTTGGAGAGATTGTGGTATACAAATGCACTGAATAGATCTGTTTCAGTCTGTCTGAACCCTGATACAGAAATGTAGCCCCACTGAGTGGTTTGTGTTGTAATTTTACCAGTGCCCAATAAAAAAAATGGTCACATTATTCAAATATGGAGGAACACTCTGGGCCAAGACACATTTCTCAGAAGCTGTTCAAATTGTTGGTTGAGGGGGTGAAAGTGATGAGCTTAAAGAGCAGATTGAATGATAGGCAGGGCTTTCCAAATAGCAACTGCCCTAAAACAATGAGGAAAATCTGACAGGCCTGATGCTCGGATGATCCATGTGGGAGATGGAACCCACAATTTTGGAACCATTAGTTAAAACATTATGTACTAGATCTGTTCCATCCCCTCTTTCTGAGTTCCCTCCTAATATAAATCTTGGTTCAAAACTTCTAGAAAGTGATCAGCTACTTTTCTAGGATTTTATTGCTTTAAATTATCTTTGTGAAAACCGAATTTAGCAGATTAGAAGAGAACAGATTGGATTTATACCCTGCCCTTCACTACCTGAAGGAATCTCGAAGTGGCTTACAATCCCTTTCCTTTCCTTTCCCCTCATGTAATGTATTCATCCCCGACCCCATGCACGACTAGGTCACCATGCGGTTGGGTGAAGCAGCCGAGCTTTGGTCATGAGAACAAAGGGTCAAGCGGATCCTAGCCCGCACCTATCGGAGGGCTAGGCTCCCGGCAGAGAGCCTATGGAACTCTCGGCCACTGTAAATAGCCAATCACTGGTGTAGGGGTGTGTTTAGGGTGTGAACACATAGGGTGGAGCACATATAAACCGGCCTGCGAGCCGGTTAGGGTTGCCTTGTTCTGAACTAAGTAAAGGTATGCTGAGCTGAAATCACTCTCTGTCTGTGTACTTTTCACCACAACAGGTAGGTGGGGCTAAGAGAGGTAGGTAGATAGGTGGGGCTGAGAGAACTCTCCCAAG